TCAGAGGCTGAAAAATCCTGAAGTCTGTTTGTATGAAATTAGTTAGCATTATAGATGAGAATTAGATTATTTATCTCATTTTAAGCTAAAAAAAAAAAGGGAGTTGCATAATACTCAAATTAACACGGTAATCTTTCATGTAGATGATCGTCACCGAAACACAAGTCCTGAACCACAGGATGGATTTAATGAAACCCTGTGAATGTTATCTACGGATGTGTCATCAAACATTCTCCAGTTTCCACACCTTGATTTCAAACTGGAAGTCCCAGACCCGTCCTGGAGTCTGAGCCGTTTTAGATTCAATGTTGTGAGTGAATCAGCCGAAGCTTTTGTTTGATCTGGACGGTGGCTGAGGCGCAGCTCAGGCGAGGCGGGATGAGGCAACGCTCTCATCAGATTCAGGTTCTTTGAAGACGACTTGGGCTGCTGGGTCTGACACAAATAAAAACCCTGTTTCTGTTCCGCTCACAGCTTTGAACTCACCCAGAGGATGAATTTTAGCGCCGCTCTGTTTGACGTGTCGGTTTTTAATTTTGTCAAACTGAGATCAAGATGTGATGAAATCTTTTCACATTTTAGTCACTCGTCTGACTTGAAATGGATCGTTCCCGTCGTTACAGTGAAAGGAAATATTCATCATCATCTGCAACATTGAGTTTCTTGACCAAACAGCACAACTGCAAATAAAACTGCAAATACTACAAACATAACTTTAGACTGGTTTTGTGTATAATTAAATTCAACGTGTTCTTATGAGAAGTTAAAMAATCAGCGGAGGCTCACCTCTGGCCCGGAGGTCGTCCTCCTCTTCCGTCTCCATGTCCAGGTCTTCGTAGCCTCCATTAGAAGGAACGATCAGAGAAGTCGGGCTCCCGGGGCTCCCTCTGTTATCCTACAGCAACGTCGCCAAACAAACGTAAATAAACAAAACAAATTWWAAAAAAACACATCAGCATCACAACTAGCTTTCCACCAACAGAAGCAAAACTGTGAATTTACTCCCTAAACTCCTTTTCTAACTCCAGCAAATAAAAATATAGATTCAGGGTTTTTGCTGGAAGATTAAAAAAAACAAAAAACCGTCTTTTACCTGACCGGTGGCGTTCTGTTGTAAGGGGAGGGGCTTGATGTTGACGTGAGACGAGTGAGGACTGAGTTTACGCTCCAGGAACACTTCTTTACCGCAGGCGTAGCACCACACTCGAAGGGTGGTCAGGTTCACCGTGAGGTTGTGCCTCGTCTCCTGAACACACACACACACACACACACACACACACACACACACACGAAATTTTTTTATTTGTGACAAGACAGGTTGCAAAAACTAATGTTTTATTAGAAATAAAGTGTATTTTATTTCTTTTACATATTTAGGCTGGTAAGTGAGCAAAGCCATCGCCCAGCTGTAACTGCAACATCTGCTACCTTTAGCTCGTAGCTARCCTTTAGCTACTTTTAGATCATTCTTTGAAAACTTAGCCAGTATTAGGCAAAGAACAGCAAAGCTTCATTTTAATCAAACTAGCTCATTTGCATTGTCTGTGAAAATGCTGCATAAATGCTTAATGTTGAAAGATTTTTAAAGAAAAAAAAAGAAAAAAATTGCAATTTGTTTTAAAAATAACATAATAACAGAAAAAGCTGAAATTAGCAGAACATAGCTAAAACGTGGCTCAAAAGGCTGAATCTAGTGCAAAGAGGCAAGAGGAGCACTTTTGCTAAAGTAAGGAGTAAGAAGCTAAAACTTTTACAAAAAGGTCAATTTAGCAGAAAATCAGCTGAAATAGCTACAAAAAGGATTCAATTGTAAAAAACAACTGAAGGACACATCAAAAGCTTAAAATAGCAGAAAGAAGCTAACCGATGGATAAAAAATTAGCAAAATAACTGAAGAGAGCAGAAAGATAAATGAAAAATAAAACCTACAATTAGCACAGAAAAAATGCTGAAAAAAGCTAAAATTTGCAAAGAAGATAAAAAGGCAGAAACAGAACAAAGAGTAAAAAGTACAGTAAAGACTTAAAAACATTTTGAAAGGCTAAAAATCTTAAATGTATAAACTGTTGAAAGATCAAAAGTCGAAGCCAGAATGTCCTGAAACGGCCAAATGTTTCGATACATAAACTGTTGAATCAGAACAAAAACTGCGGAATGAGATACAGATATGTGTCAAAAAACGTACGGAAGAAATAAGGATCATCTGAATAACAAACGTTTTATAGCTTGACTTGAGCAGGTGTTGCTAATCTGAAAAAATCAAGCTACTGTGGCTGGTAGGACTGAAAAAACAACGATAAATGTCGCAATAAACAACGTGATCATTATCAATAGAAAATACGTCCAATAAAATGTCGATAACCTCACTGAAATTTGATCCAGAACCGCACGGCATTCTGGGGGATGTAGGCAGAGGAAAGGCTTTAGCTGCTCGAGCTCTCACAGCCCAGCTAACCAAGGCCGGTGGTATCAGCTAACTCACTCAGTCTTTGGTAAACTAGCAACAAACGTGCTCCACAGTAGCTTCACGTTTCACCACTGAGCCTCAGAACAGCATCAAAATATAAAAAGAATGTCGTGAAGTTCCAAACGCTGCAGATTCTGAACAGAGACAAACACAAATATTTACTTTAAAATATTGATAGCAGGTTTCTTCTTCAGGAAGGGCGTTACAATCTAAGAGGCATTTGTCAATTTCAAGTTTTGCTTGTGCAAACTGCGGCGGGGTTAACTACGTTCAAACAGAGCTACTCGAGGTGACTTGGGTTTAAACGCGGAGGCAGATGGGTGCGCGGCGGAGTCCTGATGACCCACTGCCGCTCTGACACCGGCGGTCCGACGTGAGGCCGACCTGCTGACTCTGTATTATTCATCAAGGCGTGCATTAGCTTTCAACACGGGGGGAGCAGGGCAGGATTTGGCAAAAAGCATCACACCAGACGGAACACA